CTCCCCCCTCCCTCTCCTCTCAACCCCCACCTCCTTACAACCCCTACCCCTCCACCAGTCCTTCCCTTACCTCCCACCTCTCTCCCTCAGTCCCCTCACCACCCCTCCCTCTACAACCCACACACCGACAAACGCTCATTATTTTGTTTCACTTGTTGTTATTATTGTTGTTGATGATGATGATGTGTGTGTGTGTGTGTGTGTGTGTGTGTGTGTGTGTGTGTGTGTGTGTTAGTGAGACAAAATTCCATCTCAGGTTGTTAAAATTAGAAAGTGACCTGTGAATCTGAAGGTTAATAAGAGAATAGTGATAGTTAATTATTTGCTTTCAGGGACAGGTGGTGCGTGGTGGTCCAGGTCAGCAGATGGCGAAGAGTCAATTGGGGGAGGAGAAGAGGATGAAGGATTGAAAGTACTTAGTAGAGAGAGGGGGTAGAAGGGAGAGGGATGGATAGAAGGGGGGGATTGAGAAAGGGAGAAGGAGGGGGAAATAAGGCAGGGAGGGATTATATTGGGTGAGCCTTGAGGGAGGGAGGGAGGGTCTTAGAGGGAATAGGGAGGATGTGGAGGGAGGAAGGAGAAGGGAAGGGGTAAAAAGATCTTGGATGGAGTCAAGAGGGAGTAGGGAAATGTGAAGGGAGGATAAGGGGGAAAAGAAGGAGAGAAAGGGGGAGGAGAGGAGAGAAAGGGGAGGAGAGGAGAGAGAAATAGAGTGGTAGTAGCGAGCATAATTAGACCATAGAGTTGTATGGTTTAATGGCCTTCTTTGTGAGCGTCTTTATGGCTGGAGGTAAACCCTTAAACCAGAGCCACATACTCCCTTATCTCCACCTTAAACCAGAGCCACATACTCCTTTATCTCCACCTTAAACCAGAGCCACATGCTCCTTTATCTCCACCTTAAACCAGAGCCACATACTCCTTTATCTCCACCTTAAACCAGAGCCACATACTCCAACACCTCGACCTTAAGCCTTAAACCCAACAAATTGTTTTAATCCTTGGTAATGGGTTTAATTATTGCAGTATATCTGGTATCATTATTTCGTAGATAATTGAATGGTTATCTTTTAATAACGTTCTAAATCAACCTCTAACTCTATATTATTCTCAAGTCTTTATTGAAACTAGGGAGTGGGAGGAAGGAGGAAGAAAGGGGGAAGAAAGGAGGAAGAAAGGGGGAAGAAAGGGCATTTTCGCTGGGGTTGAATGGGGAAGGAAGAGGAGGAGGAGAAAGAAGTGTGTGAGTAATAATAATAATAATAATAATAATAATAATAATAATAATAATAATAATAATAATAATAAACGGTTTATTAATAGAGTTACAGCCGGTGTCTAAATCAAGTATACATTTGATTTAGACATAATGATATGCTTTGAATACATTTACAGGGCTGTACAGTATATAAATCAGGAGTTGTTTACTCACAGTTACAGACACCTTGAAAATACGCACTGTCTTCCCGTAAAAGTACTGAACTGCCTTAAATTAGCTACAGGTCGATGTGATGACCTTGGCTGCTGCGGAGCGCCAGGAGACAGGTCCTCACTCAGTGAAGTCACTAGCGTGTGTGTGTGTGTTTAATATTTCAACGAAAGAGACATCATTATCGTGTTTATTTACCAACCAAAAATAATAATACTCATAATAATTGGAACTACGATTAAGGTATTTTCGTAATTATCGGCGCTCAGTCTCTTATTAATTAAGTACACTTACAAAAGTCTTACCTAAAGTGAGTTATAAGTACAGTTGTGAGGAGAAGGACAGGCGTAACAACCACAACACAACCCTCTCTCCGTCTCTCAGCTGCACCACAACAATGATCATTGTACTACAACAACAACCCACCAACCACACGGTGTCCCACAAGGCGAGGGTTTGTGTGGGAGGGGGAGGAGGTGGTGTTGGGGAGGGTTGGAGAAGGTATTGAAGGCTATGAACGAGGTGTGGGAGAGAGTAAAGAAGATGTTGGGGAGAAGTGAACGTATAGGGGAGAATGAGAATGGGAGGATAAATGAGAGACAGAGAAAGTGTAAGAAACCCGAGGGAAATGATAGGAAGAGGTGAAGGAGGTGTCGGGAGGGGTTGGGGGAGAAGGAGGAGTGAAGACGAAGAAGAATGGAGGCAGGGGTTGACCAGCTCCTTGTCCTCTGGTCCAGGAAGACAAGCTGGAGGACAATGGGCCAGTCAGCTTAACTCACACACTAACCCCAATAACCACCCACCAGTCCTTTCACCCATTCAGGGAAAAGGGGGGAAAATCGGGGCTTTTATAAACCCCTACAAAGGCGTCAGGGGGTTCCTCCTCGAGTGTGAATTGGAGGAAGGATCTCGGAGGACCCCAGGTGGTAGGATAGAAGGTAGAGGTGTAATGGAGAGGGTTCTGGGGTGTGGTGAAGGGCTACAAGAGTGTGTTAGATGTTCCTGTGGTACTACTTGAAGCTCTAGAAGATGTAGGCGATGTAGGGATGTGTAGGGATGTGTAGGGATGTGTAGGGATGTGTAGGGATGTGTAGGGATGTGTAGGGATGTGGAGATTGAAGCCCTCTAGTGTCAGCGGGACCTGGAGTGCGGGTGGGGTTAAATTCTCTAATAATATCTGCCAGGTGTCTCGGTCAGGTATATAAGAGGTGTTATGTGTAGCTTAGGTTAGGTCTCACGAAACCTAATGAAGCGTCGGCGGTGTTGTGGTTGAGGCTGCTCGTTGTGGTATAGAGTACTGGTTGTGGTGGGGCCGTAGGTTGGAGGATAGAGAACACAATATATATCAATTAATGTAAAGGAATGTTTTTTAGGATAATAAGTATTTAATATAATCAATTGCTTCGGGACCCAAGGTATGAAAAATTTAGTTCCCCTATGATAAAACAGCAAACACGAGCAACCAAGGATGCCTATAGCGTTCTCCTTCATAAACGAGCGCCACGCCAGACGATCTTTCACCATGACCTTCTGTCAGTATTATCTCTCGTTTTCGATAGGAGAAATAAATGGTGTAAGTGATTAGGTGCTGTGAGGACTAAAGAAGGAGAGAATGAGGTGTGAGAGACGGACAGGCAGGAGGAAGGTGGAAGACGCCAGTGAGGAAAATAAACGGTGTGAGGGAGATAATATGGAATGTCCGCTCTGGAGGCGACGATTATGTGATGGTGTAATGATAGAAATAATTATGATCAACTGTTTCTCCTCCTCTGGAAATCTCCCAAAACCAGCCATGATGAACCTTAAATCAGACTACTACTATTACTACTACTACTTTTTTTTTTTTACGTGGCCTCCAGCCTCCCTCAATGGCCACACCTTCGCCGCCATTTTATTACCTTAAAATTAAATATCCTAATACATAAGTAGCTACCCTGGCTGTGTTGAGTTAGTTGAGCTGCAGATCTATGCGGCATTCAGTGACTGTAGCCTCATAGTCAATATCTGCAACTGTTGTCGGCTTTGGGGCCGATTCTCTCGTTCCCCTGAGGCAGAACAATGCAGACCTAAGCAGAGAGAAGGACAGTCGACATCTCAACCAAGCTGTAACATAACTTCTGGGCTGCTGCTTTCGTTCAGATAACACCTCCGCGAGTCTGGCATAGAAACATTTTGCACTTGGTCTCATCCCTGATCAACATTTAGAATTCTCTCCCCATTTGCCTGATCTTGTCATTCTCGTTCCTCCTGTGTGTAGCATCTAGAGCTAGGTTACGGTGACAGTTTGCATGGGGTCAAAAATCCTTATGTCGAAGAAGGTTCGCTGTCCCCGCGTCCAGAATCCTCGAGCACTGACGTCAACACGGGCTTCGTTGGATGTGTTTGAAGTCCTGTGTGGAAATTCTCACTGTGCAGTGGAAGGAGGGTCGGTTCTACCCTAACATCATGGCAGGTTACCTTCAACATATTTGCTGTGAGATCCCTTATTTCGTCATGTCTCATGCACACGAAGCCTCCTTTCTTGCACACCATGGCGTGGTCGATGTCATAAGATGAGCCACACACGCATTGGGAGGGCAAACCTTCTACAGGCCTACCGTACCCTAGAGCAATGGCATCTGTAAATTCTTGTTTATTAAGACTGAAACCATTTGCCCTTATCGGTAACGTAGTTAGCCAGTTCGAGCGACTTCTTGGGGGTTCAAGTTCTCTGACACTTGCAGCATCAGTTGCTGCAGTTTATCACTTTGGCCGTGCTGTCGTTCTGTCGTAGTGGACGGTCGAATCTTGTTTAATTCGCTGGTATCCACCTCACTTGTTGCATCCTGAGCTATTATGTGTTCGGTGAGGGCTACTACTACTACTACTACTAATAATAATAATAATAATAATAATAATAATAATAATAATAATAATAATAATAATAATAATAATAATAAATAATAATAAAAAACAAAACAATGCCAAATGACTTCTACGACCAGATTTTAAAACCTTTCGAACCCAAAACCAAAATTAGTGTACAAACCAATTATTGCCTCCCTCCCCCTCCTCCTTCCCCTTCCCTTATGAAAACCCATAATAACAATATCATAAAGCTGACCCCTTGGCATTTATATCCCTTTAAACCATAAATATGACTGGAGCATAAATCATAGCGGCGCGCATCTTGTGTTGGTAAGATGCCCCGGCCTGCTCCACAACCTCCCGTGCCACAATACCCCAGTAGTGATGACGCTGAGGGTATAATAATGAGATAATTGTTGACCCCCCGAGCGGCCTGGGTATATAAAGCCAGGGAGGAGAATAATGACCACCATTAATGTGAGGTATAGAAGGTCGTCCTCTCCTACAGTTCACCGAGGATAGGTAAATGTTGTAGTGGTTCCTCGAGTACCCGTTACTTCCTCGAACACACTCTCGCTACCCTCGCTGTGGCTGAGACTACACGATCGCCGGGTGTACTTTGTCGCTAAAGATACGTAGTGTGTGTGTGTGTGTGTGTGTGTGTGTGTGTGTGTGTGTGTGTGTGTGTGTGTGTGTGTTGTTCATCTGTCATTACACACTTGTCTTAGGTGGCAGTACCAGGATCATCGTGGTTGAGGCGTGAAGCTGTACGGAAGTAGAAGTTTGTCGCTACAGGAAATATACTTAAATGTACATAATTGTGGGATAACACGATAGCGAGGAGAATTGATTCCTTGTAGAGAGTCGCTGAGAAGAGAGCACTGAGATATCACGGTGGGAAAAACAGCTCTATTGTGGGATAACATGATAGCGAGGAGACTTATTTCTTGTACGGTATTCCTCTGAGGTAAATACCGAGATATCAGACTTGTTTAATTAAGAAGCATCATGATAACGATAAAACTGATAATTCTAGATGTCAAAGTAAGAATGAATGTTTGTTATGTTGTGGGATAACGTGATAGCTAGAAGATTTATTTGTTGAGGTATATCAGGGTGAGAAGAACGCTTGTTTATATAAGGCCACAACCCGGTATAACTTAAGCAGTGTTTGTTATACAGCTGGCCTCACATGCCGAGTTCCCGGTACATTACACGTCTTAGCCTGAACAGTAACGGAGAATGTATTTCTCTGCGCGTTTAGGATTTTTTACAGCCAGTGACCTACAGGAAGGAATACGATAAGCCGGGTGTTCTTATTTAGACTCGTAATGACCTTATGTACAGAGTCTCACCCTTGAGTCGGTCTGCTTGTCTTAGAGTTCATGTAAGATGCGGAAAAGACTGTTATACGTTGTGGGTTATCAAGATCACAGGAAACTCTTTTACTGTGGGATATCACGTCAGCCCTGGCACAACGGGACCTTTTGCTGGGCGTAACGGCACATTACCGGGCGATTCACGTAAAAATATTCCCAGCGATGATTGATCAGGTGAGGTTCCTAAAGGCGAGTTGTTGGGTTCTTCGCTGTATACTCTCTCTCTCTCTCTCTCTGTGCCATTTACCCTTCCATCTCGCCTCCGCCCCTCCAACCCTCTCTTCCTCCCCCCTCCCCCTCATCTACCCTCCGACCCTCCCCTCCACTCCCTCCTTCTCGTTCCCTTGGGCGTGGGTGTTTGCTCGACGCTCCCTGACATGGATGAATAAGAAATTAACTCAGGATATATGTGGGCCTGCCTTTGTTGTTAAGGTGTACGTCGGTGGTGATGTTGTGGTTATAGGTTTCTGTTGTTGCTTTTGTAGGAGGTAATGTTGTGGTTATAACTCCTTTGTAGGTGTCTGTTGTTGCTTTTGTAGGAGGGGATATACAGTATGTTTGTTGTGGCTTTTGTAGGAGGTAATGTTATGGTTTTAACTCCCCTGTAAGTGGTGATATATTTCTCTCCTTCTTCTTTCCCGTTTCTCTCTTCCTTTCTCCTCTTATTTCCCTCAGCTCCTCTTTTTTCCCCTTTCCTCCACTCCTTTTTAAAATCCCCTCTTTCCCCTCTACCCCTTTCCCTTCCATCATCTACCTCTCCTCTTTCTCCTCCCCCTCTTACGCTCTGTTTCTCTTCCTTCTCTCACCTATGTCTCATTCTCTTATTTCCCTCCTCCTCTCCCCCCCCCCCTTCAAGTCTACACGTCTCACGACAGCCTCAGGAGGACGTCTGGGCCCCTAGAGAAGGTCGTCAAGACTTGTGATGCGACACAAGACACTCACGTCGTCTTCTTCAAGGCCTTCCCAGTTGACACCTTAATACTACTTAAAAAAAATTTAACTTAACATTTTTTATGGACTTCTTAATGCCAGACGCCGTTTTCTGTTGACTTCTTAATGTTAGAGGCCGTTTCTTATTACCTTCTTAATGTTTAAATGATACTTACTATTTTCTGTTGATTCTTTAACACCAACCTTCGTTTTCTGTTGACTACTTAAAACCAGTCTTTGTGCTTCTTTCTTTTAACTAAGTAATAGCAGATGGCATTTTCTTTCGATTTCTTAATACCAAACCATTTCCTTTGACTAAATTTTCACTTGATTTATTTATACCAGACACCACTTTTTCTCAAATCCTCAACACCAGACACCACTTTCTCTCAAATCCTCAACACCAGACACCACTTTCTCTCAAATCCTCAACACCAGACACCACTTTCTCTCAAATCCTCAACACCAGACACCACTTTCTCTCAAATCCTCAACACCAGACACCACTTTCTCTCAAATCCTCAACACCAGACACCACTCTCTCTCAAATCCTCAACACCAGACACCACTTTCTCTCAAATCCTCAACACCAGACACCACTTTCCCCCAAATCCTCAACACCAGACACCACTTTCTCTCAAATCCTCAACACCAGACACCACTCTCTCTCAAATCCTCAACACCAGACACCACTTTCTCTCAAATCCTCAACACCAGACACTTTTAAACACCAGATGCCGTTTACTTCAGGGTCCATCTGGGTAACTTCTTAATACCAGAGGAGGAAATTACACATATTCATTGGTGACAACTCGTCCCCCTCTTGACCTGATAATCAGACCTAAGTGGCTTGAGGTGTATTTGCATATTTATAACGAGTTCCCTCACATACGCAGCTCCGACCAGTTTGTCTCGTGGTGTGGCTAGTGTGTGGGTGGAGTGACTAGTGAGTGGGAGGATTGGCTAGTAAGTGGAGGCATTGGATAGTGGCTGGGAGGTGTGGCTAGTGAGTGGAAAGATTAATTAGTGAGTGGGGAGATTAACTAGTGAGTGGATGTATTGGTTAATGAGTGGGATGTGATAGGATGGAGTGAGTGGGGGAATTGGATAGTGACTGGGAGATGTGGCTAGTGAGTGGGAAGATTAACTAGAGAGTGGAAGTATTGACTAGTAAGCGGAGGTAAGACTAAGGAGTGGGAATGTTGGGTAGTGAGTGATAAGAGGATTAACTAGTGAGTGGGAGGGTAAACTGTGGGAGTATTGGATAGTACTGAGAGGTGTGGCTAGTGAGTGGGAAGATTGGCTAGTGGTAGGATGGATTGGATAGTACTAGGAGGTGTGGCTAGTGAGTGAAAAGATTAATTAGAGAGTAGGTGGATTGGTTAATGAGTGCAAAGACTGGCTAGTGAGTGGGAAGACTGGCTAGTGACTGGGAGGATTGGCTAGTGACTGGGAGGATTGGTTAGTGACTGGGAGGATTGGCTAGTGACTTCGTTTTACTGTCTTTTCAGTTTTCCATGAAAGATTGAGCGACTTTATACTTTTTTTAAAGATTAAGAAATGTTTTTGTTTGTAATATGTGTCAACTCTTTTCTATCTTAGTTACGCTTTTATTATCATCCTCTTTCTTCCCTTTCATCGATAATTCCTTCTACGCTTTTATCTTACGTTGTTACTTAGTTTAATATTGAATTCATTATCTTAGTATTTCATTCATTGTCGTAGTATTTCATTCATTATCTTAGTATTCCATTCACTATCATAGTATTTTATTCATTATCTTAGTATTCCATTCATTATCTTAGTATTCCATTCACTATCATAGTATTTTATTCATTATCTTTATTTCATTCATAACCCCCCCCCCCTCTTCCTTCACTTTTCATCATCACCAATTCACACTACCTTCTTATCATTCTTTCTCCCGATTCTTCCTTCTTCCTTCACCACCTTCTCTTGCCGCCCACCCCTCCATCTGGTCCAGTACTCTCTTGGTGTTTACCTGACTCACCTGCCTGTGTGCATGTCGCTCCTGATTGGCTGGTTTGGTTGACTGACCGACTGACTGACTGACTGACTGAGCCTCTGTCACCTTCCTCTCTCTCTCTAACAACCACGACAGCTCAGACAAGTAGATCGGTTGCTAAATGAAGGTGCGCCTATGTCATTTATGTACAGTGTCTGATGTTGGTTTGTCTGAGTTCAGGTTCGGAAGTAAACAAAATGATCGCGGATGTGGTTATATTGTTAAGATAAGCTTAGATATGATACCTATTGTCAAGTGTGTTTATTACAATTGATGTTTTCCAATCGGTATGCCTCTTCCAAGTTGTCATCGTTAGGCCTTATCTAATCCATATTCACCAATCAGATGTCAAAGTATTCCAATCCACAAGTTCTTAAGGTATACGTCTCTTTATCCTCCAAATTTTCGAGAAATATGTCATAAAATCCTCCAAGATTCTGAACATCTGTCATCAAGAAACATCCCCAGAAATCACACACTACCTTCCCCCTCCCCCCCCCACCTACAACCACTTTTCCCCTGCCCCCAGTCTTCCCCTCCGGTACTTAACTAATTGCCCATCCTAAGGTAATGACCTAAACGACCGTGAAATGGCTGTAATGGGTGGTTCGTACACCTCGTTACTTGGAATGGCGATAACGCAGAAACGAATGAAGAAATTAGTGCTGGGAAGGCCCTGGGAAAATCTGAAGCCGGGGAGGACCAGTTGGGGAAATTTCCCTTCTCGGTTCTTTATGGTAGGGGAGAAAGATGGTGATGGTGGAAGGGATTCATTTGGATATTAGGGTGATATTTGGTTATGGTGGTGGTAATGGTGGTGATGATATTAATTTATTTGATTGTCGATAAAATTGATTGATAATGATAGCTAATAATATTAATGGTTATGGTGATAAATTATTATTATTATTATAATTATTATTATTATTATTATTATTATTATTATTATTATTATTATTATTATTATTATTATTATTATTATTATTATTATCATTATTATTATTATTATTATTATTATTGTTATTTGTAGTACAATAATTTTAGTAATAGTATTATTATTATTATTATTAGTAGTAGTAGTAGTGGTAGTAGTAGTAGTAGTAGTAGTAGTAGTAGTAGTAGTAGTAGTAGTAGTAGTAGTAGTAGTAGTAGTATTTCTAGATAAAGACCAAAATTAATACAGGAATTCACAACACCAAAAACATTGAGACTCTCAGTGGCAGAATCAACCAAGCGCGTATATATAAAACCAGCCAAGCGTGTACATTACATGATCATGGTGGGCGTATACAAGGCGATATCCAGGCGTATATACGCAAGATCATCCGGATTTATGCCATCATAATAATCCACTATTGTGTATATCCATTCACGTTATCTTTGCGTATATGTATTCTAGTTTCTTTTATCGAATATTTTGACTCTGTCCCTCTTTCTCTCTCTCTATCTGTCTC